TATATCTCCAAATGATAAATATATATATATATTTATATTTATAAAATTATATATATTATATATATAAAGTTCACATATGTATTTATATATATTATAAATTTCATATATATATACCCACTTATGTATATATTATGTTTTTCTGCCTATCTGTCTATCTATGTACCTATTTATCTATCTGAATGGCTGAACTATTTACCATTAGGTATAAACAAATACAAAGATTTATTACATATCAACTTTTAAGGGAAACAAAAGGCAACAGTAGTACATTTTTTCAATTTTAATTTTGTTTGTTATCAATCACATTCTAACAGAGTTCTGTGTTTCTAATTTACTCTGGATCTTTTTAACTCAATGACCTTGCCAGTGAGTAATCAATACCAATCGATAATGCATCTGGCCTTCATGAAGAGATCCTCTAGAAGAGATTTTTAATAAGCTGTTGAACCTTAACAGAGTACCTAACAGTCACTCCCTAAATATTTGTTGAAAGATCAACTGAATAAATGAGTGTTGGCTTTTGTTTTTCTTTTTTAAAATTATGATTTCATTATGCAAGCCATGATATATCCATCGCTGTGGACCTGGAGACAGAAGGTCTGGGTTGAGTGCCAAGTCCAGATAATCTCTTGTTTGATGCTCGGTCCCATTTTCATTTTTTGTAAAGGTCGGGTAGCAAGGAACTCCTTAAAACTATGCACTGCTATAAGTACGTCAATGACTCTCTTGGGTAGTGTCTGCACTCCTGTTGAGCCCTACAGAACATCTCCTTGGGAATGCCAAGGAGAAGAGCAGGATTTCTCTGGACTTTTTTTCTCTCTAGTGAGTATTTCCCTTGTTCATAACAATTCTGTCTAAAATTAGTAGGAGTGACTTTATCCCCTGATATTCTCTCTAGTCAGAAATGTTTGTCTTAGTTTAAGACGATCCTCTAACCCCTACTTTCTAATGAGTATTTTATTAATGTTGAAAGGATTAAATCATCTTTGCTTTATAGCAAAAAATTAGACTTTTACTTGCCTTTGTAACTCCCAGCAAAACTTACTTTTTTAAAGCAAGACTAACCTTTAAAAGGTCTGCATGCAATAGAATAAATGTTTGTGTCTCCTCTTCCAAATTCGTATGTTAAATTCTAAACCCCCAAAGTGCTGATATTACGAGTTGGGGCCTTTAGGAGGTGACTGTGTCGTGAGGGTGGAGCCCTCAGGAATGGGATTAGTGCCCTTAGCAAAGAGACCCCAGAGGGTCCCCATGCCCCTCCCACCACATGAAAACACAGTGAGAAGTAGGTCTATGAACCAGGACATGGGATCTTACCAGACACCATATCTGCCAGTGTCTGCACTATAGATTTTCCAGCC